CAAAAGTTAGAAATAATGAAAGAAAATGTGCTGCTGTAGCACCACAAGTTTGAGCTCTTAGCTATGTTTTTCTGGACAATAGAGAATGTCTAATCTGATTCCAAGAATTGACAAATTATTGAGTGCATGAGTTAACGAATTTGTATTGCATTATTCTAAAAGACTACTTGAGGGTGCAAAGGAGGTGAATTCAATTTTCACCTAAACTTATAAAAAGAGGTCACTTCTGTCATTCAGAAGGAAAATTCTTCATCCTTATTGGATGAAAATTGTGAGTTAGGAATGTTTGAAGTTGGTCCCTTTGTGTTTTTTATTAAATGTGACACCATGCTTACTATAATATTATTTGTTCTAAAAACATCTAGCAAGTAATAGGTACATTCTACATACCTCAGAAGTATCCTTGAAACACATATTCTTCATTCATTTAAGAGTTTCTCTTGAAATTTCTGAATAGTTCGCAGTAAGCGTGTTAGACGAACAGACACAGTTGGTTCACGTGGTAGCATAATGGGTGTTACCGGTGATGGTGGCACAATAAATTGTGAGTTTGTTTTCATGCGCAAAGTTTTTACTTGTTGTTTAAGGGACATCAACTGTAAAATGAAAAAAGTAAAAGCAATTCTATAACAGATTTGTAACGGTTATTTTCTAATACTAATTGCTTTGCCTGAACTATCTTTCATTTAAAAAAATGTTTATTATTCTCAGAGTTTTCCATTTCACATACTACAGTAAGGTATAATTCAGTTACTGACTTGCTTATGTAGACCCAGGATGACTGCAATATCATTTTCTTTTGCTTCCAGCTCAGATTCCAAGTACTCTAATTCTTTTGTTGCTTTTATTCCATTGACATTAGGGCTCTCAAGTTGATTATGTAAGCTTTCATATTTCCTGTAACATGAAGGACAATTAAAATAATGAATTTAAATGTTCTCTCTGATAGAATGTTGCACAATACTGTGACAAATTTCTTAATTTTGAATGGTAAAATAAACTTTAAATCAAGAATGATATAAGCGAAATTGGAAAATCAACAAAGTTCAAGCAATGTAAGTGATTTATTTTTTTATTGTAATTACTAATTTTTTTCATAATTCAGTGGGAATGAAGAGATCAATAAAAGAAAGAATATTGCATTACATAACTTCCAATGTAAGGAAATTATTGCAAATACCTAGAGAAACAAATTCGTTAGGTTAAAACTTGACATGCATTTTTCATTGAAATAAAAGAAATCTCTTTTAAAATCTTTTAATAATGAATTAAAACTTTGGACCAGAATTGATACAGAATCTTGCAAAACATTTCGAGATTCATAAATAAAGTTTGAGTTTGATATATAATAGAGTGATAAAGTCAAAAAATGCAATTACATTAGAAAATAAATATTAGAAATCTAAAGCAAAATAAAGCAGTAATGAGGCATCAAAATTATCACATTTTTATTTTCGTTTCACTTACTAATTTAGACACTGGTGGTCAATTTACACATGGAATCCCATCCATTTATTTTTTAGTTGATTATTTTTATTATTTGATTGTTGTTTACACATGTAATTTTTAATGTTTTTCTTTTCTACATCTCAGGTTAGAATTTGCTTCATAGTTATATATTATATTTTATACCATTTGAGATTTTGTTGTAATCACAGTGTTCTTGTTTTCTCTTTGGACATTGTATTAAAATTTTTATTTTAATTCAAGTTTTTAATCTTGCTTTGTACTATTTCATGTTTGAATTTTTGTGAGGAAAGAAACAAACTGATTGATTGCAGAATACATGATGATGCACCCACATAGTATTATGGAACGTTGTGACTTTAGAGCATTGGTACTAATAAAATAATTGTTAAAATATTAATGGATTTGATTGTTTTTAATGTCATTAATGTCAGAGGATACCACTGCACATAAAAAGCAAAAAAAATGAATCCATTAAATATTGAAAAGGATGTCAAAGAACAAAATATGATAGATAAAATAGAAAATAACTGTATGCCTGTGTGAGGGTGAACACACAATATATTTTTTTTATAGTCTCTAACAACTAACTTCATAAAAAAAATCAATTGAGTGTGTCATTACAATCATGAAAATTCATTATTTAGTCATGAAAAATATTTATAGTCTTATAAATTAATACACTTTCTAATATTTTAAATGTTGTTTAAGTGCTCTATGATTAATTTACAATTCATTTAAAAAAAATTAAATGCAGATATATATATATATATTTACTCATAATACACTCACAGAGCTTTGGAACTACAGAAAGGATCTTCAAAATAATTCGTTTGTTCTGAATATTATCATGTCTTCAAACAAACGGAGGGAATTTTTAAAAAAAAAGCCTTTAAAAAATCAGATACCATATCACCTTACCAGGGTTTGTCTAACAGAGGTACGTGTACCACCGAGGATATGTGATAGTTGGTACCTACATGAAAAATTTCTATTTTCTCAATTAAAATATCCAAGTATACTAGATTTTCAATGTTTCCAGAAATTTAATCTCAGATTGTAGTTATGCGCCCTACTCAATATCAAAAAATTATTTTTGAAATCCAACATTTTCATGTGATACTAATTAATTGGTTGATTGGTTGGTTGTTAGTGATTCTTGGCACATCAACTACTGAGATCATTAGTCCTGTATGTGTAGTGTGTGTTTTTCTTTCTGGAGGTGGTGGTGATGATCTTCCCCACTGGATGGCGAGATCCAGCGCCAGTCAGCTAGTAGGGTTTACCTCAACCAGGTATCTGTGTAGGACAAGGAAGAGGAAGGAAAGATCGCAAGTGGGCCATGGGCCATTTGTTATTGTACTGCTCTGGCATTTACCTGGTGTTCAGAGAAACCAAGGAAAACTACCGATCAGAGCAGCTAGCCTTTAGAATGTTCCTACAGACAGACTGAATTTAATCTAGCTGACAAGCTAGTGTTGAAAATCCTGCCTCATTGGGAGTGGAACCCTAGGACCTCCCGGTCAGAGGCACTGCAGTGACATCAGTTGATGCAGTGAGACACCTCTCCTGAAACTAATTACTTAAATAGGATTCAATAAAACAAGTGAGAGTACTAGACATGGACAGGCAGATTGAGCACTTGTGGCCCTAAGAGCCAGAGCCATAAATGGCATAAATGGAAAAAATGGGCAAAAAAAAAGAAAGAAACAAGAAACTTTTAAATAATTTTTGTGATCATGCTTTTATAAGTAGTGCTGAAGTACACTGCTATTGAAAATTTGCAATTTCATTATAGGCCTTGAATTAATTGCAAATAAATTAAAATTACGTTATGGAAAAATTATAATTCAGAATAATTTCAAGACGGAAATTTTTAAAAGAGATTCTGAATTTTAGTTTTACTGTGCGCCTGAAATTGTCTAATTCTGTCCATGAATAAAAATATTCAACCTTAGTTATTTAAATATACATGAATATTCAAATTGATATCAAAATCTAGCATTTTGTAAACATTCATGACATCAGTACTGTGCTTTGCCTCATATATCACCTACAGTAGGAAGAAAGATGATTAACGGAATGGATGTATAACAGAACACTTGGAAGACTAATAAGGAATACTGTAATAAACCAATAGAAACAGGCTGTAGAGCCTAATTTCTGGTCAGTTCATGATGATGATTATGATGATGTATAATAGATTATTTTCCAATGATACAGAACTTAGAAATTTCATATGCCACCATGAAACAATGAATAACATGAACCTTGCACATATTTGGTCACATTGATTTCATTTTATCATTTTATTTAAGAATGTAATCTGTAATTGCATTTTTTGTCAAATGATTTTTGAGTTATAGTGTTATAACATTTAATGCTAAAATATTAAAAATATAAGTTCCAATGTACATACTCATTTAATTTTATAAAATCTCTATGCATGTTCATTAACACTTCTTTCAATTCTTTTGAACGAGCTTGGATTTGTCCATAGATTGGATGATCTCTACTATCTAAAGCAATATCAGTATCTTTTATAAAATTGTGAGATTTTAAAGGTTGCGTCATCTCTCCATGTTTTATTCTCAGTGTGTTCTGAGACATATTTGTTTCCCTTTTATCGTTTGAATGTAGTACCAATTGAGCAACTTGAGTGTCATCACCATTTGATAAATATTCAAACAAAAGCTTTTGATAGTCCATACAGGGTCGTGTTGGAAAACATGTGCAGCGAAGACTTCCATTTACAGATTTCATATCTTCAGCTTGTTCAACCTCCCAAACGTTTTCTTTTTGTCTCAAGTGAGAAAATGATGAGCTTTGAAAATTTCCTGCTTCAATCTCAGATTTTGACAGAGAATCAAATGTTTCTGTAGCAGAGTCTCCTTCATAAAAGGCCATTTTCTCATTTCTTCCATCAAAAATTGGATACTCAGAGTTGAGATCTACATGGGTTTTTAAATTCTTCATTTGAGCCATTGCAACTGGACAAAAGATCTTGTGTGGTACACAAGGACCAGCAGATGAGGGTCGAGACTGGGGGCCAAATATAGAGCTGGCTACCTCTGTTGCTAAATCACTACCAATACTCAGAGATGAACTGCGTAACTTGATTATAGAAAGAGCCTGTTGTAGATTGAGGGCAAGATTATGACTTCGGGAAGTAGATGTTCCAGCTACAAATGGTATGTTTCGAAAATTAAATAAATTCCCCATGGGTTTCTCAACTTGTTTGAGTTTAGACGATAGCGTGGGTACTGAAAAATTTGGAGTTTCTTCACAATGAGAGAAAGGAAAGGAAGAAATGTGCTCATTTCTAAGTTTTCCATTGGGTTCTTGAGCAGCTGGATTGCTATCAAAATTCCTCTCAATTATAATGGATGACGTTTGCTTTTTCTCTCCAGGCTTCCCATTGTTCATTGCCTTGTTTTTGAATGCAGACTGTGAGGAAATCACATCACATTGCCTTTTCGTAGCCTTCCCATTCAGATATGATTTTGATAAATCATTCTTAACGATTTTCACCATTGAATAACAATTGGAATCCCCTGACTGCCTATTCTCCCTTGTATCTGTGATAAGTAACTGAGATCTTGTACTTTTAACTTTACTCTGTTTTTTCCTGTCTTGTTTTGTATCAGCAAGAATATATTCACATTGTTTTCCTCCTGTAACATGTTTAAAGAATAATTCAGATTAATTCCCTCAAGATATCACATATTTCATTTTAATAAAACAAGTATAAAATTCAATATACAAATATGAACATTATAACTAAAACACATGAAGTAGTAATCATAGTCATTAGGTGTCAGTATCAAGAGTGTATAACAAAAAAATTACATACAATATAAGTAAATAATTTTACAATACATTGCCAGATAACATTAAATTATTATAATCAACACACAAGTTTTAAGTATCTAGTAAAATATTTTCTGATGCACTTTTTCTGTATCCCTCCGAGTACCATGTAGTGATGACCCCAGTACCGAGTAGTTGATGACCCCAGTCCCTTGGAAATTTTACGGAAATTCATTAAAAACTCAAACAAATTTAATTGTGGCTCCATGAATTTTTTAATCAAAGAATTTTTTATCACATTTCATTTTCAATTTCATTGAATATATTTATATATGCCTTACATGATGTAATGATTCCTAAAAAATGTGTTTGGGGTCCTCGCAAGACCCCCATGGTATTTCCTGTAACTTTTTTCTAAATAAAACGCTTGGTTTAGTTTAATAATATTGGGCTTCTAACTAATGTACACACCTTTTTGATTTTGATTTTCATTGAAACACATTTTCATTTTCACTGAATACATATATATGAGCCTTACATGATGTAATGATTCCTAAAGATTGTGCTTGGGGTCCTTGTGAGACCCCCATGATATTTTCTGTAACTTTTTTTGGAATAAAATGTTTGGTTTTGTTTAATAATATTGCGCTTCTAAATAATGTAAACACAATTTGATTTTTTTCCCATTGATCAAAAGATGCCAACTAAAAGGAATTTTAAGTTCAAGTCAGAAAAAAATTGTTAAAACATGCAATTAGAAATGGCGTTTCAAAAGGACTTCCGTGGTATTTAACATTTCAGCAAGACCGAGGTATTCAGACGGATATTATACTGAGCATCAAAAGGAAAATAATATTGATTTTAACAATGATATTTAGCCATTATTAACCATTATTAACCATTTAGACTGTACAATTTTAAAAGATTAAATATGACTTTAACAAGTATTGTACCTCAGCTTCTGGGTAAATGACTCCCCATCTCAATCAGGTTTTTTGTCCAACTTCCCAGATTCTTTGAGCAAATGCTGAGAAGGCTCCTTTGTTTACTTAAATGTAGCTTCAATGTCTGGGCACATTTTTCTGAGCTCAGTAAGGACTGTGGTTATACAAATAATTGTACTCCACATTCTCAAGGCAATAAGGCAATTCTGTCATGACTAGGAATGATTAGGGATAAGAAACCATGCACAGATTGCACTTCTCCCTATAGTATGTCCATACAGCTTTTACCTTTCTTTTTTTAATTTTACATTGTAAATAAATAAAAGTTAGAGTAGTATATTAGTAATAAGAAACATCAAAATAGTTCATTGTTCTTGTTTCTCAGTCTATGTATAAATGTACATATTACAAGAAATGTAATTAAAAATTTGGAGCCATTTTTGAGAAAATTTTGAAAATATCCCAGGTGCTTCATGTAAAGTATCCTCAAATTTTTAAGAATGTTTCCAAAATCGCCATGCTTCGACTCAAGACATATTGACCAGGCAATATCCTTTTGGAAAAAATCCTACGTATGATTTAGGTGCTAGTGGTGTTCACAGACAGACAGACATTTAAAACTGGTGGTGATACAGAATGACACAGACTTTCCCGTATTAGTTTTCTGATTTCTGTGTTCTGGGCTAGCTACTCTTGGCTCATACTCTACATTACTCATACATTTTTTAATATGCATGTATGTGTGTGCGTGTTTGTGTGGGCGTGCAAAATTTGTTGAAAAAAATGTTACCGTAAATGCCAAAAATGATTCACTTAATCACAGAATTTTTTTTGTTTTGTTTTTGAAAAAATTCATTGAAAGTCATCACTCAAAAATGCTATTGTTTTTACAAATCCCTGGAAATGTACATGTAAATGGATTTAATAAAATTACATTTGTGTAATTTTTGACAAAACAAAAGAATACACCAAATTGAACTTAAAAGTCATATTAAACACTGCAATTAGCACTCTCCATTGGAAAAGTTTAAATAACAAATTTGAAGCCATTTTTTGAGAAAATGACATTTCAGCGTTTCCAAAAATGTGGATTTTTGAGCTCATTTTTAAAGAAAAATATTGAGTTTTCAAGAAAATGTTTATATAATTTAAAGCACATGTATTCATAAGTACAATAATGTAGGAACAATTTATCGCTAATGAAAATATTAACGTCATGAGGACAGGACAAAAAAATATTTTTGTAATTTTTAAAAAAACAACTAAATAATAGAGCAAAATTGCATTTATGTCATATCAAAGGGTACATTCGGCACTATATTTAAAAAAGTTTAAAGAAAAAACTGGGAGATGTTTTCAAGTAAATCTCGTTTTTCTAATACTTTAATATTGCACATGTTGCATGTAAAATGATAAGTGTATAAATGTATTTTACTATATTCTTACAATATAAATAAAAAATTTAGAGCAATTTTTAGGAAAAATTTGAAAACATCCCAGGGACTACATGTAAAGTATCCCCAAATTTTACAGAATGTTCTTTTAAAATCACAAAGCTTTCATTCGAGCCAGATTGATAAGGGTTTCTTGAATTAGGAAAAAACCCTATGCATGGTTTAGACGCTAGTAGTGTTTACAGACGAACAGAGGGAAGGACTGACATTTTGGCGTCAGTTTTTTTTCGGTATCAAGGACACACAAAACAGGGATAATGGCTACCCCTCGTGTTAGAGGATTTTTCATAATGTAGCAACTGGATTTATTAACTTTTTGTTATGAGGACCCGGCAATAAGTTTTTTCTACCGAAAATCCAAATGTTTTTTTCATGCAGCATTGCATAACTTTCTGTATACTACAAATATTACTTACAATATATGTACGTATATGAGAAAGTAAAAACATGCCGAATAATAATTGAAAAAAAATTTACAAAATATAATTGATAACAAAAATCAGAATCGAGCCCTGCGGATTTTTGCCTTGTTTCAAATCAGGTATAACAAAACTCAGAATTCAACCCTCAAAACTTTAAATGAAGCATTAAATAATTGGTCCTCTGGTTATTTGGAAAACGTCTTTGCATCCTAATAATAAAATATGTAATTCAAATTTTACCATACTTAATTTATAATTAAAAACAAATCGCTTTCAGAAGGAGCCTTTAGTGGCCATAAGAATTGCTTTTGGGGGCCTCGTGGCTGGGGACTCCAGGTAATTGCACATGACCATCCATCGGTAGTTACACCACTGTCGTTATCATTTCCTAATAAACAAATCTTCATTTAGCGTTTGAAAATATTTAAAGATATATTATTGGTCAATGTGTATTATCCAATGGCAGAAGTACCATTTATAACTCTTGTGATACTAGATAGCACATACTTTCTCGCCCTTAGTAATGGTTACGCAATACTATTTATACCACATTTACTCTCTGACTTAACCATTTCAGTCATAATTTTTGTAAAACTCATTACAAATTGTAAAGCATTAGGTTCCTGCTACTCTATCTGTGGTCAGCAGACACACAAGACTGCAACAACACACAAAAATGAAAGACAGCAAACAAACAACGATACCCACATTATGTTTTCTTTAACGTCATTAACTTATTGTTGATGAAGGATAATGCAAGTTAAATATCTAGGTATTTTATCACCCCCTCTTGTGGGGTTTGTGATGTAATGAGAATGTAATGGAAAAGGTGTCTTCAAAATCAGGAAGTTGTCTCATATTCAGGAAAATATTATGGAACACATCAATTTGCAAATATTTCAAAATAATATTAATTAAAGAAAATATTTTTTAATAAACATTACTGATTTTCATGTTTTTTCAATGAAAATCATAAGTTGCATTTGTGTCATACTAGATGGACTCTTGCTCAGACATTGTGAATCATTGTTTTAATGGTGAAAATAGCTTTGGTAATTTCAAATGGTCAGACGCTACTGTGCATTACATCACAAATGCTAAGTATTTATGCTTAGGGCCAATATTCTAATATTGTTAAGGAATATTATTTACAAACTGAAAGACGTTGTTAGATCTGTGCAATTAAATTGCACAAATATCAAACAGTCAATTTAAATTTTCATATATTTCAATTTTCTGTGCACCTGTGCATTCAACTACCTAGAAGAACTAAACCTCTTTAACTGTTACAGAAGGTCCTTAAATAACTTAATTTGTAGATTACTGCAAAAAAAATATAACCTAGAAATACAGGTTATAAGGGACACACAATGTCTGTATTAACATTGCACACAACACAGACACTGTGTGTCCCTTGTTGCAGATTGCTTTTGCCCTTACCAATATCTTTGTAACAATCTATAAAATTTCATATTTTTCATCTTAAATTAGTTTGATCCACCCATGGAGAGTTATTTGTTATCAAACAGAACAAGAATTCCAGAGTTTTATGTTTATAGCATCTTATAAAAAGTACAAAACCACCAGCTTTTCTTTGCATATTATAAATAGAGGGGACTTTCTATACTTACCAGAATCTCTCTTTGAAGTCTCTTTCGGTGTATTGCTAGGTAATTGCTCTTTTCCAGCTTTGGAGTGTTTTGATTTTGATTTTGGAACATTCCTAATAAAATCTGGTGATGAGTTTTGTTTAACTGCTAATGATTTCTTTAACTCATTCAGTGATTTTTCTCTTGATCTGTTTTCTGACCTTTGTTTATGTTCTTTGAATCTGCTCTTTTGTTTAAGATGATAAGAGTCATTAATTACTTCCCCAAGAGATTCAGACTTTGAATGAACCATTTGATCAGATGTAGGAAAATTACTCTTATTAGATAATGAGTCTTCATGATGACTGCGCTTATGATGCCGACTGCAAGTGTGATGATAATTACAGTGGTGATGATGTTTGTTATGATGGTGATGTCGATGACATTTTTTTTTGAGAGAATGTCTTGATTCTTCATATGAATTTTCAACTACTACATTTTCTTCAAGAAAGTGACTTACAGTTTGTTTTTCTGGTAAAAGTTTTGGCTTTTCAATGTGATATAATGCAGACTTCTTAGATGTACAAGATACGGTTTCTTGTTTGTGTGTTCGTTTTTGTGTGTATTTTTTCTTTCCTGAATCAGAAGCATGCACACTAAGTTGAGATATAATATTGACACTATTTGTAATTCCATTTATTATTCCTTGAATGGTCTATATAGGAAGAAAAAGAAAAACAAATGGTAGAATTAATCATACAAAAATCTATACATACAAATATGTAAAGCAGATGTGTGAAAATCAGTTTCATTTACTATCAGTGGAAGGGAAAATGAGTTGCATAAGTTATGCACAAATATTACTTTACCCCACCCCCTCAAAGCATTAAATCTTTTCCCACACTTTTTAGAATATGCACTACTGACAATATATCCTGAAGGAAACAGTATTTCAAAACAGTAATAGAGTAAGAGATATGAAATTCTACACTGAAAAAAATAATACAAGTCCATAGCTTTTTTGACCATAAATATTTTAACAAACATACACAACAATTTATTTGGAGTGTATACATGAAAGATGCATTCTAGAAATCAAATATATTAAAACTAGTACGAACATGATTGTCAGATGACTTTTAATTAGAGTATAAAGAATTACTGGTCTCATAAGGATTAAAAAATATGAAAGGGAAAACAAGTGAACTAGGTCTTGCGTTAAATTTTAAACTCTTACTATCATTGGATTACACTCAAAATAAATAATATAATTAAGCTTTCTCAACTTTCCTAAATATTGTGTGTAAAATTTAAGGGATTTTCACTTTTTTCAGAGGATTGTATTAGTGTGATATCTTTACATGAATCACTGAGTATTATTCAAAAATGTTTTTTTAGCTAAAACTGGTTTGTCAAATTTTCTATTAATACATTACTACATAATTAATTGATTGAATTTTCATTACAATATTCAGTCCTAAGAAATGTGATCTTTTTATGCCAAGAAGTCAAAGAAATTCAAATTACCTCTACAGGATTCATGCCATTGCTTGTTTCTAAATCTAGAACAGAATCCATGGTTCCATTGAGATCAATGCAACCATTCAATGGTTTTACATTGTTGTCTGATTCAGAGTTGGCATCTGTGTAGTCATTTAATGAAGTTTCATAATTGTCTGCAGTAGAATCATTTTCCATTGATTGAAGTACAATATTATCATAGTCTGATTTGTTTGGAACTAAGTTAATATTTTTTGCATTGAAAGAATGATCTAAAGAGCTAATCACCAATGACTGGAAATTATCATGTTTGGAAGTATTATGGCAATGATTCTCCATATCATTATTGACTGTGAGTTCTGGAGATGAAGCTCCGTGAGTTAATTCTTTACATACATCATTACATTCTTGAAAATTACAATCAGATATTGAAGAATATTTAAAATCTACTGCAGGTTGAAGTATAGATGATGCTATACATTTATCTTCCATTATTGTTGGTGAAATAACTTTGACGTGTTCCTCTATCTGTCGTTCAACAAAGGAAGAGTCAGACTCAGGACTAAATATTGATTCTTCATAATCATTACCCATTTCAAGTTCAGTTTGGTACTGACTTAACCTCTGCAAAAAAACAACAACAAAAAACAATAAGGAGGTTGCAGATCATCATATATAATTTAGAAATAAACTTTCAATAACTTTTTCCATATTGAAAATAATTACATCTTGATATAGCGTTCTCATAAATTCAAGTTGTTGTTTCAGTGTGTCACATCTTACTTCTGCACTCTCCACTTGATGTTCCAATTCTATAAAATAGAAGAAAATTTTAGAATCTAGTTTTGAAAATAAAAAGTTATTTCCTGGCATATTCATCATCAACTCTTTAAGGATAGACACAATGGGTTGTCCTTTTAATCCAGATGTAGTTTCTTAATTGTTAGTTCCTAATTTACCCTTAAAATACACATTATATTATTTATAAATTATAATCTGGCATGTCGTAAGCTATACATCCACCAGACAGTCATGGAAAAATAAATTTTCACTTTCAAGCAACGTTTGGAGAAGAAAAATAAAAACAGCTAGGAAATAGATGCACCACGCAAATGGGTGGGTAGGTTAAAAAGATACCAGCCATTTGATAAAATGGAAGATATAAAGAGTTTCTTAGAGTGTTATGAGGAAAAGCCTTGGAACAACAATGTTTTTGCTTATATCTGTAAATACTGACAAACTTTACAAACTGACATTCAAGTATGTCAGTTTGCCTCGCATAATCATAATAGGCATTTTCATCTCACCTCCCAACACTACTATTAGTAATCACAGTGTGTATTGGTGTGGTGTGAATGTACTTAAGTTCCTCACATCCTGGTAGGAATGTAAGATGTCTCACCATTAAGAATATGTAGCTCCAGTTATTTGTTTGTTTATTCTCTTCTGGTGGTTGCAAGGTGTGGTAATTACATTGTATTATTTCCTTCTAAATTTATTTTATCTTAACTGTATGAAGATAGAGTAGCCTTGTAGTTAACTAACATGTATTTGGTGGTCTCATTGCGATTTTTCTCATCTTGTATAGGTCTGATGATGGAAATATATTTTCCGAAACATTGGCAAACACCCATGTAGTGAAAACTTTTTTCTCTAAGTCCCCTGAATCTTATTTCAGTATATTAGAAGAAAACGTGAGTATTTACATTCCACTATTTTAAACTATGTTTTTATGACTTTAATACACTTTTAATCTATTGAAATTTGTGGTTTAAGTAAAACTGGAGAAGTATCGGCACAGAAGAAGAAATGGAGTAAAGCTGAAAGTTACAGACATTACAATTTAAAATTATCAAATTTCTCTTACAGCATCCCCAAACCATAAGAATGAACATGATATGATTGTTTGCATTTCAAGCAACTATTAACATTGTGTAATTTATTCATTATTATCAAATACAAAATTTAAGAATTTATTGAAATATTTTAAATAAAAATAGTCCAGAGTTTTTAATGTAGTGATCCATGCATGTGTTGTTACAAGCACACTAAAATATCAACAACTAAAACATCAAATTTGGCCCGTAAGAGGTTAAACATGGAAATACAAATGATGATTAATCACATGTTAAATTATTTAAATGTTTAAGTTCACCGAGAAACATATTAAACACCACAACTAAACTTTTGAATTTTTTAAAGGACATTTAATTAAAATCAGAAAAGGGCAATGAATATAATATGGTTTTGGTACTATGCCAATGACAACAATGGTGCTATGTAATACTGCAAAAAGAAGCACACAAAAGCTGCTCTTACTACTAATTTTAATAACTTTTGCTCTAAACTTCACTGTTGTCTTCTGTGATAAAAACAGAGATGTGCTGGTAAATTTTCCAGCACTGGAATGTTTTATTTCATTTTATAAAAAACTAAAAATTTAAAAACAAGTAGTACTGAAATGCAGATCTGGCACTGATTCATTCCAAGTTCAAAACAGATTCTAGGCACAACATAAAATTATTCAATATTCTTAATGACTCTTTAAAGAAAAATATTTGTACTTAATTTCTAAAGGCAAATCCATAAACCTCACAATATTAAAAATAGTTTCCACACATGTATTAAGTAATTTGGTTAATCTTGGGTTATGTATATTTGTGTGCAGAACATTATTGTTCAAAATTATAATTACCAGATAGATGGTCATTACTTTGATTTCTTGAAATTTTCTCAGTATCTGCATTGTTTGTCTTGAAAGAGAGGTTTGAAACATCATCATTGTCAAGACAACCATCTTCAATATCTGAAATGTGAATTCAGTTGAAAATAAAAATTGTTTAACAAAATTTAATTCAATCATGTGAAGAATCTGAATTACCGCTATTTCTGTTAGCCTTCATATTTAAAACTATCATTCACTTCATCAATATTATCAATCAATTCCCTCAATTATATTGCTGCTTTCAAAACCACATCAATAAATACGTTTGCATCATTCAATAAATTACAAATTTTTTGTATTTAATTTATAACTTCCAGAGATATCAACCCTCAAATAACAATAAAAATAAAAGGTCTCAAAATTTTGTAACTAGACCTTCCCCTCTTTTCCCATATAAAAACTATGGAAACATTTTCTATTGAAATTAGAATTCCATTGTTTACACTCCCTACGAGCAAATGAGTAAACAATATTGTCATGTATCTTTATGACACAATGAATTTCTCCTGCACAAAACCGCTTTTTACCAATATGCACGAAGTTCATTTTTCCCGCGAATGCATTCATTTTGATCGTTGGAAGGCAGTGACGTCACAGGAGCATGGTTGCCATATTCGCATATCCGGATGTTTACATCTCGGACGTCGCATTTGAAGACATATGAAGTAACTCTAATAACAAATTAGAATAGTACTTTGGAATATGTCTGCTCTTTTTGCATGCTCAAGGTGCTTTTCAAGACACCCTTTTGAGGAGTTATCAGCAGGGCAACAGTTATGTAAGGTAGGTTAGATCATTCTGTTAATCGTAGTGATGAGGTTACGATAGCTTAAAATCATTAAAAGAAGCCGGGTAAGTACATTAACTATATTTACAATCTTCATTTAAATAAGTCTTTTGTTATAGTGTTATGAACAACGTAACCCCTGTTTTACTGTTTATGTTAGTGAAGGTATTTGATATTTTTTGTGCATATAACCTTAAAATTACTTCAATTCTTTTCATTCCAGGAATGCCGCGGAGCTTTTCCTGTAGTCAAGTGTACTTACTGCCGATCGGAATTCCAGCAAACTAAGTTAGTAAAAATATTAGTTTTTGAAAATATTTTTAACCACCCCATTGTTAGGTGTAATTTCTTCCTCACAAAATGTATTGAAAATGTTAGCAAAGTTTTAACAGAAATTACTGCAATTACTATTGGAAAATTTACAATGTTTCCACATTGTAACCACATTTATTCATTAGCTTTTATATGGTCAACTAATTTGAAGATTACAAGTTGTACTTGATTATTGAAAGTTCTTCGTATTTTCAAACAGCATAATTTTTGTTTTTTCCAGTAAAGGCAGCCCAAGTGCAATCTGCAAAAAATGTGAAGCTAATGTAAAACAATTCGGGAAGCCCACAGCTTGTGAGTATTGTAACATTATTGCGGCTTTTATTGGCAACAAATGCCAGCGTTGTACTAATTCAGAAAAAAAATATGGCCCACCTGTTACTTGTGAGCAGTGCAAGCAGAAATGCGCTTTTGATAGGAAAGATGAAGATAAAAAGGTAATTATTAGCAACACTGATTCATTTTACAATTTTATAATGAATTTACCTCTAACAGAAAGATTGTTGTTTGCAGGTTGATGGCAAATTACTTTGTTGGCTATGTACCTTGTCTTACAAAAGGGCTCTGGCAAAAACAAAACAAACAGATGCAGAAAGACGTGCACATCTTAAACTTATGGCTCAGAGGTCTTCAAAAGGCAAAGATGTATCAAAGTAAGCCTTATATAATATGTTTATTTTAAAAATTGAGGTTAAGTAGAGCATAGTGATAGGGAGGGTTTCAGGGGAAAGGTGAGAGTATGTTTTGATTTACTTGCTGTAAAATATGAAAAATACTTGCATGGAAATTAATAAAACTTACATATTTTGCCTTTGGTGTCTTTGAGACACCTCCAATAAAGTATATTGCAGTTCCATATCACACAAGTGAAACCTGAACAAACCACTGTATTTTTCACTCTCATTTTTATACCTAATTTTGCTATGGGCAAGATGATGCTATGAGGACAAGGCGTGGGTTTTCAACCCTTGGGATTGACATAAAACACCCTTGAGTGCAACACATTATTACCAACCATTTGTGCAATAAAATGTTTAGTATGAAAATTCACCTCTTAAATGCACGAAATGGTAAATAAAGATATCTTTTTTAGAGTTTGGAAAGCACTCACTTCTTAACTTAAGAAATACCATTATATTTCAGTAAAATTAAACTGTTTCAAATTTTCATAATTCTACACAGTGAACAATACTGTTCGTGGCAGATATGACTACCCCGGCCATCAAAAGCTTCCTCTTATCCCTGTGGATTCCTCCTTTACCTGAGCAGTATGAACTTCCTGCGTACACAACTTCAAGTTGTACTTTCCATACTTCAACCAAAAATGAATATAAATTATGTAGAAGCTTGCAGAATAAATGTGTGAGTTTGTTGAATGAACAAAATTTGATGAAAAATATGTATGGCATGTACTCTGTTTCAGGCACAAAAGCCACAGCAAACGCCCCCATCGAGTTGATGTTACTAAACTCAGCCAAACTGCAACTGCACAGGATGGAACTGACGGTACCCCTCCTCCTAAAGTGGCTCGTGCTGCTGGCAATAACAGAGGGGATCCTCCAGACCCAAATTCTTCTGATCACGTTGTTGCCATGACGCAACTGAAAGAGCAGATAGCTTCCCTTCAAAAACTTCTTAACCAGAAAGATGCCCAATTATTGTCAAAGGACAAAATGGTAAGTTTGGAATCCTCTCATACGATTTTTTGTTTCTTTTTTAAGTACTCTGAAGTAACAGAGAATACTTGTAGGTCAATATCAGTAATTTTGCTCAGTAGACTCCTGTTAAACTTTCTTTTCCGATAAGGGGCTAAGTAAACTTATGAATGTTATTTATAATAAATTCAGTAATTGGAGACTGGACATTACTAACCGGCTACCTGCCAAAAAAAAATTGAGTTAGTCCTGTAGAACTATGGTAAGTGCCATCATCAACAGTATAAAGCAGGCCAAGTGTTACAACTATTATAGGAAAAGTTTACTTTATTAAGGCCCATCAGTCAGTGTGAATTACATGCTGGGCCACTGATGAAGCTAAAGTGAGTTGAGTGTCACCAATCTTTAAATGCTGAATGTGAAAGTTTTGTAAAAACTTTTCTGCAAATTTTATTCTATCAACCAAGTACTGACACTCGCTCCAAAAGGGACTTGCCACAAGGAGTGATGTTGTCAGGACCTGGTGAGAGAAGCACAAAAATCACTCCACAGAAAAGCCAAGAGAACAACAGAAGTAATGAAACTAGACTTTATCAGCTCCCTGTTAGTGATGAACGTGTACTCAATGGATTTTGAGTAAGTTCCATCTCTGCTTTTTTTAACCCATGGTTAGATGTTTTTTCCACAACCACTTTCATACTACAATCTGCATGTCCATGCTCAAAACAAGAAGAGGCATATGATTTTGTTGCACCAGAGTGAATGGCCAAGGTGGAAATAAAATTGCTTCAGAATCCTAAATTTATTACAAAATGAAAACTTACTGTTTGGTCTGAAGTGTACTGCTGAATTTTTGACAGAGAAAAACATTTAATTTTGGTAGTTCTTTGGACTTCATTTATGAGCAAGTATGATGAGACAAACACATTTTTGGTCTCTGTCCATTACTTTTTATCACATGACAGATTTCGCCCAGATTGGGAAACAAAGGTGTAAAAAAGTGTCAAGTTTCAAAGGACCTTATTAAACTTACAGTGAATTCAACTTCAAACCACCCCTTTACAGTTACTTGCTCCAACCTGAAGACTCCTTGGATTTTAGACAAGCAGTGACACAATTGATAAGTTATACACAACCAACAAAACTAAGTATTTCCAAATGCAGTTGGATTAGAATTGAAAAACCTGAAGTCATTGAACCAGGAATAAACAATAAACCTGTGGAATGTAACACCAGCCAGGTTTTCAAGAACAGGGTTGTTTCTATTATAATCATGGTGTGTTACCATTGTATCTCTAACAAACCAAATTGTCAATTGAGAAGAGAGTTCTGCAACATGCTATTGTCTTTGAAAAATTAATCAATTAAGTTGCTTGGTAGGTTTTAAAAAAAAACGAGCATTATCCCCTTTTTTGGTTATAAGGATCATTAAAACAAGTTTTTCTTTTAAAAAATTGCTGATTTTTATTGTGGCAATACATTACTTCCTCTATTCTATGTAGTATGTGAGGAAGTTAAAAAAAGTTTTAAATAAATGTTTTACAAGGTTTATTATTGTAAAATTATAGTAATAAACTGTTGAAATGACCAAAAAATGACATTTCATTAGCATTTACCTTGTTTTTGTGAACAAAGATATGGCACTTGGTACATTGTTTGTTTTTCCAAATAAAATACAATTTTTCATTGAGAAGAGGAGGGGAATTCAAAGATCTTGCATTAGTAATATGAATCATTCCCCCAAATAATGAATATAAATAAATTGGCTTCTGTTTGTTGTTGTTGTTGTTTTTTTGACAAAACAAAAAAAATTAATAACTTACAATCACTGTTTTGTCACTTAGCCCATTAATGATGTCCAGTCTTCAATTATTAATTTAGTTTCCTAAATTCTTTATGAACGTAACTCTTTTTTGACAGTCATGGAAGGATGCGTTTATTGGTGAAAGAAATGAGTGTTCATATTACCCATCCTTGATGTGAAAAATATAATTACTGATCAAAATTTTACCACTATTTCAAAATGTTATTTATATTGAATATTTCTTGTGAGCAGCTGTTACAACAGATTCATGTATGTCAACTAATAAAATAATGAGACAGGTGAGCTGTAAATGACATTGTACTGGTTTGTTGTCAGTATGCAATTGTGATTTCTTGATAAAGTGTAGAAAGTATTTTGTTGGGGTGTTTATTTGAGATCCTATTCTTTCTTAAATTCTCTGTTATTACTTGGGTATTATAGTACAGATGAGAGACTATTAGCAGACACTGTGATAAATTTAAATTGTTAATTTTACTTTTCTAGGAATCCATGGCTTCAAATCTTAAAATTTTATTATTTTTTTATTGTCATAAATGAATTTACACTTTTCATTAGGAATTTTATGTTAAGAAAGGGATTGCTGTAAAACCATTATCTGTGTCATTGAAAATATAAATTGTGTAATACTTGTTATACAAAAACAAAATTTTGTATCTAGATAACTGAGCTGAAAGCCAAGCACTTCACTGTTGAGCAAGAATTACGTGGGAAAATGAAGAATTTGCAAAAGGATTATGACAAGAAGTGTGAAGAATTGTTATTGAAAGTGAAAACGTTGCAGAAAGAAGTTGCTACTCTATCTAAATCTGGCAAGAAACAACATCTTGTTGCCCGTGATTTAGCGAGTGGAACTGGTAGTGGTAGTGGCACTGATAGCCCTTCTTTGGCGTAGTAATACTTGTATTCTAAGTGGCATTTTGTCTTGAATTAGCCTGCCATTTCTAATTTTAGAAAACCATTGCCTTTGTTGGATGTCCATTTTCCTTATGATTTAAAGTTGACAGCTTTAGTTCATATATCCAATTTGGGCTTTCATGGGATAAAAAATATGATATGTTAATGTGGATAGGTAATCTTTTTCATTGTTGCAAGACCAGGTTCTTAAACTTCTAATTTATGATCTGTTGTAGGTAGAAAATAAGGTATATCTTTCTGGATGAAAACTTTCTGTACCTTATTTCAGCTCTAAAACAAAACTTGTTCGTTAAGAGGAAGTTTGTGAATGAGTTCGTTTCAAAATTGGGTGAATATTTCTTGTTGCTTGCCAGAATGTTTTTCCAGAAGAATACAAGACTTGCTGCAAAATTAATTTTTTTAACTTTTAAGACAGTATAGTTGCAGATTTTGTGAAAATATGATTTATCTTGGAGTGACTGAAATTATTCACTTGTCAAAATAATCAGATATTTTTCAAAATTTTAAATTATAAGTTCATAATGTATTCTTGGTATTTGTTGGTAAAAGACCAAGTGTTGCTATTTATTCCCAGAAGTGTGGAAATGTTAGTTATTTTACTTCTCATAAAATAATTTCAGTTACTGGGGAACGGTCACTATTTTGTGAATTGGGTTTTATATTCTTTCAAAGACAATGGATTTCTCGAACCTATATTCTACATGGTGAATTTGTAAAAATAATTCCTGAAATCAGGTCTTTTCAATTTACAATGAAAGATCTTCGGTTCATGGAAAGATTCCACATTCTCCCATAAACCCTAATAGACACTTGAACAGGAAAATTGGGCAAAATATTTTTATAACATGACTAGTGGTGTAACAAAATGTCTTTGACTACCAAAATAGTGTTTCAATTTATACAAAACAAAATCGAACCCACCAGCTTCAAAATAATTTTTGTGAGGATTTTTTTTTTAAGAAGATTCCTACTGTAAGTTGGACTATGGTCAATTCAAATTATTTTTGATTTGATATGGTTTTATGTTTACGTGTAATAGAAGGAGAATATTTGAATCGTTCACTACTGTTATACAGTTTTGATTCAAACTTGACTTGATTTTTAAAAACTCAAACTTTTACTCATGCTGATGTAACACTCCAGAACTGTGCTAATCCAACTATTTTATCTTTGTATTCTTTTTTAGTTGGTGCTTTTCTTTCTAGAATTCCTTACTGCCTTTGAAATAATTATGTACTATCTGCCCTTTAATTTCCTGGAAAAGCTGCTGTCGTAGGAAAATATTCTTCCAAGCAGTATTATTCTGTGAATACCCCTACAAATTATTTTGCACATATATTGAAGTAGCTCTAATTTTTCTGTTGTATTAAGGGACTTTTTGTCTCCAATCATATGTCAATGTCATAACTGTTATACTCTTTCTAGTTTCCATTACACAATTTTAATTCACTAGATGTAAACCATATTATTTATTAGATGGAGACTTGTTTATTTCGTGTGTATGTGTGAATGATAGTTAAGTTTGGAAAAATTCTGTATATTAACAGTTTCATATTATATTCAACATAGACTGAATAGATTGTCCCATGAATAAGAAAGACAAAGATGTTGTAACATTAATTGTGGATCCTTGGCGACACGGAGAAGTTCTTGTCTTTTATGAATGTACACTTGTTTTAATCATAGTTTGGAATTTAGGATCAACTTAAACTGCAATGAACTAAATTATTACAGTTGTGTAAGTAATCCTTCCTTATATACTTGTCATTCCTGTGCCAGCTAATGGGCTTTTAGTGCAGTAATGCAACTGTGTGAAAATATTGAGGACGTAAAGGCTCTCATTTTTTCATAATTTTCTGTGGAAATTTGGTAGGTTTTGAATATGTTTGCCAGTTGCCCTTTTGGCTTTTCAAAAAAAAAATTATTCACACAGACTTGTTATCTCTTTTACATAAAATGTGTACATAGGATATCCTGGGGGAGGTATTTCCTTTAATAATGAATGATGTGGTGTGTATGGGAGTAAAAAACTTGGTACAGATTCAGACATTTTATGTGTGAGCAGTGTTCATTACAAGGATGATGCATGCAAGTGTATAGATTTTGTAAACTGAGAAATATTTAATAAATACTAGTTCAATTTTAATCCACTTCATATTAGCAAATGTTATATAAAATAAACAAATGGTATTTAAGAATTAATTTTGCATTTCTGTTTGGAAGATAAGGTCATGATCGATTTTGGGAGAGGCTATTTTTACTTAATGTACAAGTAGATTTTATTGATTTTTTAATTGGTAGTGCAGTCTAATACGATAGAAGTATTTGCTGTGCTGTATTTCACATCAGTTGCAAATCTGAACATTAATTGCAATGCCTTGCGAATGATAATACTGCCTATTTTTTTATTTTAAAAATTTGTGTGTGATTTATACGATTAAAAAGAACAAATTCTGTACATATTGTAGAATATGTTCATTATTGTCATAGTGTGTACCATCATCTCACATCTTTGTACACATGTTATACAGATATGGTATTGTCGTTGTTATTCTTATTTATTTTGGATTCTGTGTAATAATTTACATCATGTAATTTGTAAGTTGAATGATATCAAAGAGAACAATAAATTAATGAAAATAAGAAAAATAAAGGTTAACATTCCATAAAATCTAATGTGCAGTGAATTGGCATTTCTACTAACCACTCACTTATTTTCTAGTTACTGCCCTAGTAGTTGAAACAAATGATTTCTTAAAGTGATATATTTTCAGTTAGCTTGGTAATCTTATTTTTTTATTACAAAATTGGTAATTTTAACTGTAAACCATAAAGGTGTGGTTTAGCTCTAGAAAATTCTTTGTAATAGTTATTTATGAAAAAAGTATGGTTTCTCAAGGGATGGGAGGAAAGTTGCCCTCCACATGTTTTCTTCTGAATGTAGTTACTAAATAAATTATTTGCGTTGATTTTTCAAGAAAAAAGGAAATTTACATTGATCGAGGTTTAATCAACATATGCTTTTAAGGGACATAAGATCAATTCCAAATCACTCTGTGAAGCTCGGATGCAACTCTTGCAGGGAATGCCTAATAGGCTGCATGGAGAGATGCGTTGCCAGAAATGTGGAAAGAGCCTGATGGATTTTGTGGCAACACAATAAACAGGTCATTCACTGCCTTGAAATATATTTGTGCCTCAAGCTGAAGATCGACAGCAGATTGCTACGAAGTCAGCTGCGAGCCCTATATGTAGTGTTATTGAATACTCTTTGTGTAATTTTAATCCATAAAATCCTTGTTTTGTCACAGTGATAATTTCTCTCTATTCTGAGTTTGGTTTGCCTAAAGAGAAATACATTATTGCTTTGTCATTATTTATGTAATGTGAAAAATTTCTTGGAAAATGTATGTGACATATGGGGGAGAAATACAATCTGTGCAAGTTTTCTTGAGCTCTGGAATCTCTTACCCTTCGTAAAAGTTGAATTACAAATTAATGGTGCTTAATGAAATTATTCATAATAACTAGAGCCCAGAAGTTTAGGAAGTTATTTAACCTCTAATAGACAGGCAAAATGTCATTAATTTTTACTACAATAGGCATGAAAAATACATTTATTGTAGCTATAGTAGGGCTGCAAAAAGGGATATAAATAATGAAAAATCACATGTAAAAGGAATTATTGTGAAAAAGGCAATTAAAGTGATTCACATTTTTATTCTAATTCTAAAATTACTGTGTTGGGAAACCATATTTTCTTTGTAACCTTGATTCTACACGAGACATGACCATTCAGTATGATGGCTACAAATTTGTTTTACTCACAATGCTGACTCTTTGAACTTATTTTGTGGACTCCCTTTTGTATCTTGCAAAGGTACTAGTGTAAACAGAATTTTTTTTTTTTTTCTTCACACTTGTGTTGTTTCTAGCACTGAGAAGGGTATATCGCACACAGCTGCTTTCAAAAGAGATTGGAGGCCATACTCAGAAGTAGGATGGGATTCCTTGTGAGCAAAAAAAGCCTGTCAGCATCAATAAACAAAAAATCAAAAATCTTCAGTGGTATCATCTTCCATTTTCATTTAGATTTTTAACACAGCCTCAGCTTCCACGAAGACAAAACATATGACTGCCTTAATGTTCTCCAGGCTTGCAGGTACATACTATACCAAGCTCGATCGAAATTAGTGCCAGGAGATAAAAAGCAAAATAATGACATAAAAAGCAGAAAAGTGCAAAAATAGGCATCAGAAGCTAAAATAAGCAAAACGAGCATTACTAAAACAATTGCTGAAGTACGATTAAGTGATTCCTATTGTTAGGTCTTAAAAGAGAAAGCATAACAAAAAGACATTTTGCCAAACTTCTGGGCTCTAATAATAACACGCACCATAAATTAATTTATAAAAAAACATGAATTGTTAAAAAATTATGAATTAATTCTTTTGAAACTCCTTTACAACTTCTCCCTTCAATTTTTTTTACTTTTATATTGTTCATTGCGTGGTGCCATACTAGTTAAGATTATTTCCAAAACAAATTTTGTTCTAGTTCATTTTACATAAAAAAAATGTGTAATTAAGTAACTTGTAGATTGTCACTAGGGAACAGATTTTCATGTAAAAACATATTTTAATAGGTCCAACTCAGTATTTTTTTATTTTTATTTTTCCAGGACATTATAAATTAATCAAAATAATTTTTATTTCGCATATTTGGGAATTACATTTTTTTAATACTTGATTTGATTTATTTTTGTCAATGAACAGTAAAAACTGTACATGATGTATGGAGAAGTACAATTTGTACATGTTCTCTGGAGCTATGGAAAATATTCTACACCATTTAACCATAAATAGTCAAATGATTAATAAAGGTACCAACAAAGCATGGTTAGTAATATTTGAAAATAGTCACGTTTACTCCTGAGTTATAGGAAATTGTTTGCATTGGTAATCAAACTACAGGATTGAGTTGTTAGTATTTATAAGAAAATAGTAAGCCATACTAGCCATATATAGCTCTACCACAACTAGCAAAAGGAGAGTTCAACAAAATATGCAAAGAGTGAAGCTACATTTATGTAGACTACAAGTATTATACAGAAGCAAAAGAAGGAGCCATCTCAGCATTTGCATAAGGGACACAGAAACTGGATAAAAACCTAATGGACATGGGGTCATTGGGTCACGAAGCTGAAGTACATTACTTATTACATGCATATTTAAAATTATACAGTCAAAAGGTAACTAATTCATTAAATATCATTGTTAGAATCAATATTCCTTTCCTTGTTGGTGCTCAGTATAGTCTCTGATTGTTTAGAAACAGCTTTTTTTTTTCAAATTTATTTATTTTCCATACAACAAATTTGCCCAAACGAAATTATACATAACTCATTGTTGATGTACATAATATGCAATGTGAAAATTATTTGTAACATTGATGCCATTAAAAAGGACAAAACAAACTAAATACAGTTAGTAAGAAGTTACATTAGTTATAAACAATTTTAATTAGCTGAAATTTAATATTTTTTGTTTTAAAGATCACAGAAAACTCATCTCATTCGCTATTTCTGCAATACTCAATAATTCATTACAGTATCTCGTTAACTGAGATATCAATGAAAGATGGAAACTTTGGGAATTACAAAACATTTTCTTTAATATTACATTTTTTCTTGTATTATATGTATTATTTTAGCCAGCAAATAATTTTTTTAAGTCTGGGCAATCAATTTTAGCATTTCAAAGTTTGTACAGAAATTAAATATCCTCAATGTACTTGTGTGAATAATTATGGGAATAAATTGACATTACATTTTTTATCGTAAATGTAGCGTATCTGAAAAAATCTATGTCGTATATTCTCTCATTCTTTTATTGCGTAATTCACATTTGGAGACCATACTACTGAGCAATACATCAATTTTGATTTCACTTATGAATTAAACAAATTTACTATTTAGCATGATGTTTAAGATGGAACGTTTGTCTTCTTTCTTTTACCTCGTAGTTTTAAAGACTCATTAACTATATAATTACCACGATAATAAAAT